CTGTGTGTGTGTATATATTAGATCTTGATATACATAAAAACTAACCCTAGTTTATAAAACCTTGTTGCTCTTTACAGATTTGAAACACATTAGCCTTATTTTTGTCTGTTCTACAACTATTTCAGTCTTCTGTTAAAGTTTAATTTGCATTATCATGCTTTTTAGTCTCCAAGGGTGGGAGTCCATTGATAATTAATTTTAATTTTTATTGTCAGAAGATATACATCTCAGTGGATGGTGGCAGGATGGATGAAAATTTATGATTTTAAAAAAATTTAAATAAAAAAATTAATTTTAAATAGGTTTATTTTTTAAAATCAGTTGTGAGATTATGACAACCTATGTTAAAGCACAAACTTAGTATAATCGATAAAAATAATTTACATTAAAAATATACAAGCAGAACATTTTCTGCCAAATTGCTAAAGACAGTCAAACATGGTGGAAGTTGTTCACTAAACACCTGGAAGCAAAATTTGCTGATGTGCTAAAGTAACTTTTGACAGCAGTAGCAGGTTCAGAGAGAATATTTTCTTAATTTCAGTTTATTCAACTAGTTCAATTCAATTACTAGTTCATTCAAAGTTAAGAAACCAACTGGGTGTTGAAAAGCAGGAAAGCTTGTTTTCCTCGTCTAATATATGAATAAAAATGAGGTGAGTGAGGATGAGACCTACCAGTTCTACAATCTTGAAGGACATGATGACCAGAAACAATTAGTTCAATTCACTAACCATTTCCTTTATTTAATAAATCATAGAATCAGAGAACTGGAAGGGACCTCGAGATGTCATCTAGTCCAGTACCCTGCACTCAAGGCAGGACTAAGTATTATCTACACCAGAGGTGGGCAAACTACAGCCCGCGGGCCACATCTGGCCCGGGGGACCGTCCTGCCCAGCCCTTGAGCTCCCAGCCAGGGAGGCTAGCCCCCAGCCCCTCCCCTGCTGTCCCCCCGCCCCTGCAGCTACGCCGCCGTGCGGGCAGCGCTCTGGGCGGCGTGGCGGCGTGCTCCTGCCGAGCAGAGTGGCAGCGTGTCTAGCTCCAGCCAGGCGGCCCAGCTGCCAGACATGCTGCTCTGAGCAGCATGGTAAGGGGACCGGGGGGGTCCCGGGGGACAGAGACTGGGGCGGGGTTGGATAAGGAGCAGGGAGCAGGGGGCGGTTGGATGGGGCGGAGGTTCTGGGGGGGCAGTCAGGGGACGCGGAACGGGGGGGTTGGATAGGTGTGGGGTTCCAGGGGATCTGTCAGGGGGCGGGGGTGTGGATAGGGGTGGGGTAGTCAGGGGACTGGGAGCAGGGGGGTTGGATAGGGGGTGGGGTCCCGGGGGGTGGTTAGGGGCGGGGGGTCCCAGGAAGGGACTGTTAAAGGACAAGGAGCAGGGAGCAGTTGGATGGGGCGGAGGTTCTGGGGGGGCAGTCAGGGGATGGGGAACGGGGGGGTTGGATAGACTTGGGGTTCCAGGGGGTCTGTCAGGGGGCAGGGGTGTGGATAGGGGTTGGGGTAGTCAGGGGACTGGGAGCAGGGGGGGTGGATAGGGGGTGGGGGGTCCCAGGAGGGGACTGTTAGGGGACAAGGAGCAGGGGGAGGTTGGATGGCCTGGGAATTCTGAGGGGGGCAGCCAGGGGGCAGGAAGTGGGAGGGAGTGGATAAAGGGTGGGGGCCAGGCTGTTTTGGGAGGCACAGTCTTCCCTACCCAGCCCTCCATACAGTTTTGCAACCCCAATGTGGCTCTCGGGCCAAAAAGTTTGCCCACCCCGATCTAGACCATCTCTGACAGGTGTTTGTCCAACCTGCTCTTAAAAATCCCCAACCTCCCTGGGCAATTTATTCCAGTGCTTAACCACTCTGACAATTAGGAAGTTTTTCCTAATGTCCAACCTAAAATCAGTTAATTTTAAATGCAAAACATGTTTTGATAAACTTACATGAGAAAAAAAGTATCCCTTATGTTTAAAGTAGTTTTATTTAACAAGTAAAAAAGCAATTTTTAAATGCTGCTTCGTGCATTTTTAATTGAATTCCAATTTCCATCCAACTGCAAGATGATACAAATCAAAAGTAACAAATTATCATCTATTAAAAAAAGTCATTCACTATTTTCTAACATAATTTTAAAAAAATCAGAATCTGAATAATTGTATGTTAAGCTTTATAATTTCTTAAATAAAAGTGTATGGATATAATGTGTCCTCCTCATTAACAAAAAGATGTACCAATTTTTACCAAACAGTGAGACCCAACCTTTCTTTAGGAAAATAAGAAATACAAATGCAAAACAAGATTAAAATAGATTATTTAAATCAAGGGTTTCTGCTTGCTCATTTAAATCACTTTGATTTAAATCAATCCACCTTGGTGGATGGGTGTTTGGTTTGGAGTTGTGTAATATTTTGTACTTTTTTATTTTCTTTTATTAATAGGATTTTAGTTTGGGAGATTTGCCTCCATCCTTGAAAGGACTGTCCATGGAATGAGTCAGGGCAGCCCAAATCACTACTCGAGAAGTAGAGTGCAAAACCACCCTATATGGGTTACTAATGCCTTAGAACTTGAAGCTGCAGTAGAAGAATGCTTAGTCTGGTCATGTGCTAGAATGGATCTGAGTGGTTATTCACTTATATGTTTCTTCAGAATTATAGATATGTGCTTATTATTCTTCTCAAGTACCATCAGGACGCTTCCCAGTGTCCCTTATATGCATTCTGTAATGCAGAAGTATTTAGTCTTCTCTGCGTATTCCAGGAGCTCTTCAGTCCTAGACCTGGAATAGGAGTTATCACTAGCTGAATCATTTGGTTATGGCCAACTCACTAATCCTTGGATGCATCATGGTACGCACTGTCCATCATCTGCTCTGGTATACAATATCACTGCTGTCCAGTTTGCTGGTATTTCAGTCAGATTGATCTGGTGTTAAATTGGATTGTTTCAGCTTGATATCTTCTGCAGAATTTCCATCCACAAATTCTTCCACAACTTCCTTAAACTTTTCCTGATTTATCTGATCCAGATGATGCAGCTGTTCTTTGTCCACATTCCAGCTGAGAGATGCATCACTCATGGAAGGGGGAGGTTAAATGAAGTGAAAAAAACTCTGCTTAATTTTTGAGTGATTACCTAATATATAAACACACTAAAGACAGCTAAAATACATATATACATTAATATTACTTTTCCATGATGTAGGTAATTGCTGTAGTTGCCATAGGAATGTTGCATGATTATGAATGGGAGGGGAAGGGATTCATGGGAGGGGAAGGGATCCATTGCAACCCTTGAGATATTAGAGAAGTTTTAGGAGCATCCATGCCCTCCTCTGCTCTGAAGGAGCTGGAAACTGGTTGCCTCAGTTTCACTATTTCTTGAGAAGATTTTTCTGGAATGTCTTTCAGAACTTCACTCTCCCGTGTTTGTGTATCTTATATAGACAACCTCTTCTCTACAAGATCGTAATTCTTGTGGCTCTCTTCCATTTGACTGATGCTTTGGATGTAGGGAGAGAGACTTGAAACCAAGTCCTGGTCACTTCTAGTAATTAAAGATCTCCTACAATTTCTTGCAAGAGGAGAGGTGTGTGCCCTGAGGTCCAGGTGAAATTCCAGTTTGGTAATTGCATTTGGCCTACAAAAAACTTCCCCTGATAGTCTCAGTTGGATAAATTTTTTTTACTTCCTGTTCTAAGATGTTGTTTAGAGGTGTTGCTAAGCACTGTCACCATATTTAATTGTAGAGGTAGATGCATTTCATTAACGGATGAAGGGATTTCTGGGTTTATAGAGAAAAATCCTGCATGTTCCAGTCAAAGCACTGAACTACCTCTTTATGAGTAAAACAAATAGGATTTGGCCCATAAGTTGTAAATCAGTGTGCGAGACTTTTTCTTCTAAGCACAGTTACATACGAATAGCTCAATATAAAATATTCCCTGCAGTAAAATAGGGGTTAACTGTATTGGGGACATCATTGACTACTGCAGGAAAAATTTAGAACTGTGAACTTAGGTCTTGAGAGAGACAAGATGGGTGAGGTAATTATCGTTTATTGAATCACCTTGTGTGGGTAGAAGGGACAATCTTTCAACCTTCACAGAGCTCCTCCCTAGACCTAAGGAAGAGCTCTGTGAAGCTTGAAAGTTTTTCCCTTCCACCAACAGAAGGTGGTCCAATGAAAGATATTACCTCACTCACCAACGTGGCTGCAAAAACACTGCAAACAGCTTAGGTCTTGATGTATAAATAATGCAGAAAATCATTTTAAACAAATTTACTTGTGTGTTCTTGCATGTGATATTTATCTCAGATCTTTAAATGAACATCTAAACTTTTCATTAAAGCTTTTAATTCAGTATTAATGGTAGATCAAGTTTTGAACTGTATGTAATATCTTGACATCTCTTTTAAATATAGTTTTGCCAGAAATTTTGCTATAACTAAAGGTTTTTGTCTGCTTCCCCTGACTTTCAGAATCTGGAAAGTTAGACAATTGCTCTTAGTTGTGTCAAATACAATTCTAATTAAAATTTAGTATCTAAACTATGGATTTGTGTTTTGACTGCAGATTTTGCTACTGAAAAGCATCAATAATGGATATTCCTAATAGCAGTCCAAATTATTCATAATTTGCATTGACTTTGTAGCTAGACAATATGTTCAGTCTATTCCCCTGCAGATTTTGGGTTACTGCTATTCTTGTGTTTAAGATTGTCATAGGGGTCATAATGTGTTGTCAAGAAGCAGATGAGAAGTTTTCAAATGAGCCAAATTCTAAACAATCAAGCACTATTAGGTTGAGACATCAACAACAGGAATCGGCAATCAGAAATGGAGACACTGAAGCCGAAGCTTCTCTGAGACAAACGATATAAAGGAGGAAAATAAGAAATATTTTGGAGTAGTTTTCATCCACCGTGCTGTAATTGTAGTATTTTGAAATGTAGGGTTAATGCATCATTCTCTCTGTAGTGGGCATTCCAATGATCACTTTTTTTTTTATTTCAGCCAATTGGAGCTAGTGACTATTTGGAAATATGTAAGAATTTTGACACAGTCTTTGTTCGTAACATACCACTACTTACCATAGCAAAAAGGACCCAAGCTCGCCGCTTCATTACTCTTATTGATACGTTTTATGATCATAAGGTGAGAACTAAGTGTTTCAGGTATGCATGTATTATAATGTTATTTGGCCATTTTATAAATTAATCCTGTCTTCCATCAGGTAACAAGTAAGACCATCTTATTTTAGATAACATTGTCAGCTATAGTAGAATCTCACATTTAGTTCAGTCACATGCATAATTTGCACACACGAAAATGGCAGTTTCTCTGCATTTTTTGGCAAAGACTTAACAACAGAGGTAATATATTACTGAGACGACTACTTCTACAAAATTTGCTATGATCATGTCCAGTCAAGACTCACTGGGTGTCTTTACAATAATTCAAATACACAATACATGTTGCAACAATCATTTTAAAAAATCAAGTCAAATAGACTGCTCTCACCTCTGTTATCACTTGTAGTGCACAATTGTTTGCTCACCAATCCAGGACAGAGCTCCGTGGGGGCTGACCCCAGAGCCCACACAGAACTCCAATGAAGCCATTGGGGCTCCATGCTGGTGGAGGGGTCTGCTCACAGGCGGCTCAGTGCAGGATCAGAGCCTTATTTTTCCACAAGGTTCAGTAATTGGCCAGTGGTCTTCCAGGCATTAGCGTGAACTAGCAAGGTCCTGCTATATTTTAATTTCTTCCTTTACCCCTGGTAAGAGTGGCTTGGGTACTGAGAGAGGAAAGAGGTCACTTACATTTTTCATATTTAAATAGAAAGTAATGGCCACGTCCAGAAAATTGTCTGACTATTTAATAATGTTAAATATTCTTCTTTGAAGACCTATTCCTATAAGACTCTCACTCTTGGGTTTGTGCTCCTTAGCACAATGCCACAAAACTGCCAGCTTAATTCCAGGATTGAGAATCCTATGCGATGTCTTCAAAGAAGCAGAATTTCAGGGAATTAATTTTCCTTTATTTTCATTTTTCAAAAACATAACTTACTTTGGCTTCATTCCACATCTGACATGTACATATTTTTCCTTATTAAAGGTACCTTCACTTAAGAGTAAAATCTGGCCATTTCTAGTCTATCAAGTGTTTTTAAAAAAGTGAAAAATTATTGTTAACGATTTGAAAATTGTGAGCTTAGCGAAATACGACCATGTTTTAAAACAAACGTCATTTCAGAATGCTTTCCTATAAAGTCCTCAGTTCAGGAAAGCAAATAAGCACTTGTTTTAAGTCCTACTGATTTCAATGGGACTTAAGCATGTGCATAAATTTAGGTATGTCCTTATTTGTCCTTCCTGAATAGGGATGTTTTACTGAATCAGGAAATAAACAATTAAATGGGTGTTGTCATTCTAGTAACTAAAGAATGTGCCACTGAGTATTCTGGAGCTAAGCTCATGCTAGATGATTTTAATTTGGAAGGGACCATTGGCATGTTAGCACAGCCAGTCAGGACTAATAATGAAGAGAATATTAAAGTGTTAATATATTTGTTAAAATGTGATATTAATTTTAGAAGAAACATTGATTGTAGATTTTAAATCAGGTTGCAGAACTGCTAATGGAATAGTAATGATAAATGCACCACTTAACTTGGATTTACAAAGGTTTCAATCATGGGGAAGCAAAATCAGCACTATTAAAACAACAAAAAGGGCATTTCGTATTTAAGCTGATCATTTTAAAAGAGTAATGAAAATATTAAGTTCCATCCTGTGTGTGATTATATATGCAAACACTTAAATATGTATGCAATCAGGAAATATCAATTGAGATATCAGTCTTTTTCAAGATGATCATAAAGGCCCTGATTCACCAAGAAACTTAAGTACCTGCCTAACTTTAAGTACGTGAATAGTCTTATTGAAGTCGGTTGGACTACTCTTGTGCTTAAAGTTCGGAACCTGCTTAAATACCATGCTGAACTGGGACTAAATACAGTGTCTTAGAAAATATGTATGCAGTAGGCATGGAGTAACAAAATCAGAGGTACTTATTTTTGCAATCTGTTACCTCTTAGTATCATCTTGAAGAAACACATCAGGTGATCATGAAATATGACCTCCTCCAAAGAACATATGAGCATTAAACAACATTATCTCTATTTACCCTATAACTAATCCCGTGGAAAAATCATCTAAAAAGGTCACAGAGCTAAAACTTAATACATACTGATCTATATTTTTTCCATCATTGTGAAACTAAATATTTGTGGATACTGATCTGCAATGGAAATCTTTTGTCTGGGATCTATCAATATACTGTATGCTGTCCACAATAATATTACAGTATGTTTATATCATAATCCTCATAGGGATACCGGTACTTCACTGTATACAGTATCTCTTCAAATCAGATCTGAAAATAGTTATTCCAGCCTTAATAGTATTATTAAAAAGTAGTAATGATAAAATTCAAGCTAAATTTTTAACTCACTTGAATCTTATGGGTCCAAAATGTAGTGGCCAAACTGAACTTTTAGAAAGACTTCATATTCCTTAAACATTCATTTGATGAGAATGTCTGTGCAGTTCATTTATCCTCTCAGTGCAACCCTAACTAGTGAAAATCCATAATTTCCTAGTGATTTTCATATTGCTTTTTTTAGAAATTACAGTGGTAAAGATTATGTCATATGGCAAATATTCTGAGGGTGTGGTGACACAGTTAGGTGAATCCATTCCTACTGAATGGATCGCTGAGGGGAGAAAGCAGTTACTACCCTGGCATATGAATAAAAAGTCTGCAAGTTGTTATTCAGAAAAATACCTGGTTAAAGTTAATATCATTATTTATTTACTGGCCTCTCACAAGAGACTACACCATAAATTCACATAGCTGCAGTACTAGTGGGTGGGTGAAACTTCAGAAAGATACTTGGAAAAACAAAATGAAGTACTTTTAAGCTTTTTCCATAAAAGATGTGTGTAAAACACAAGCAATGGTGCCAATACACATTTCCCCCTATTTCAGGTACGTATTATTTGTTCTGCATTGACACCTCTCCAAAGCTTGTTTCCGCTAGAACATCATGACAGTGGCCTGGAGGAAAGCAGAATACTGATGGATGATTTGGGGTTGAGCCAGGTGAGTGATATCAACATCATCTCCTTTTGTTACAAAAAGCATAATTGGCTTTGGTCTGATATCATGGCACCATTGCAGGAGAAAGAATGAAGTAAACATTTAACAGATGGCTTGCTGCTGTGTAGTAGAATCCATGCAGCACAGTTGTCACTTTAATAATTACATATTTTACTGTATCTGTATGGTCAAGGAATAGATCAATAGATATGGATCCATTTTGCATAAATCTATGAATCATTTTATATCTTAATATTCTATGTATTTACTCAACAATTTATGAAAATATTGACCCAAGCTTCACCCTGATGTAATTTCAGTGAGTTCAGTAGAGTTGCTCCAGGCATCAGTTTAGCTCAGTATGTTTAACAAATGGAAATGACAAATAAATTGTCAGTTGTATCTCTTTGTTAGGGTGACCAGATCACAAGAGTGACATATCAGGACACATTGGGCAAGCAGGGGGTTGGGGGGGGGGGAGAGACAGACAGACACAGATGCACAGCCCCGACCAGAGCCAGAGGCACACTGGTCCGCCTGGCCCTGTGCTACCAGCGTGCCCCTTCCTGTTGAGGGTGGGACCATGCTGCGCCACACAACTCCCCTGCCCAGCGCCCCCTGGATCCACTATGCCCAGAGCCCCCCTACAACCCTTCCACCACAAATGCACAGTGCTGTGCACACACACCCTGCCCAGCAGCCCCACCACAGCTGCCCAGCACCCCACACAGAACCCCCCACTTGCTAGTTTCCCAATACACACAGATTTTCCCTCCCTCCCAATGCTCTTCCCCACAGCCCCACCACCACAACTACACAGTGCCCCACACAGACCTGCACTGCCCAGTGCCCTGACACACACAGATCTCCCCCACTGCCCAGCACCCCCCAACAGGCCCCCACTGTCTAGCACCCCAAAACACACAAACCTCATCCACTGCCCAGCGCCCCACACACACTCCCAGACACTCACTCCATCACACCCTGCCCCCTTCCCTGGCCGCACTCACCAGCCCTGCTCGGAGGTCTCTGGCTCCTAGGGTGAGAGCGGCGAGGGGGGTCTCTAGACTCTCCACATGCTGCGCCCGCCACAAGCACGAGCTCCGTGGCTCCCATTGGCTGGGGAAAGTGCCAATGGGAGCTGCCGGAGCCGCGGAGCAGGGTTCGCAGGCACCGGCAGCATGCAGAGCCCCCCCCACCCTAAGAGCAAGAGGGACCTGCCAGGGGGCGAGGTGGGGAGTTCCGGCGGTGCTCACCTGGGGCGGCTCCTGTCCCGGGAAGCATCTGGCAGGCTGGTCCCTCTGGCTCCTAGGGTTGCGGGTCGGGTCGGGGGGGGAGGGGTAGAGGGCTCTCTGCCTGCTCCCTGCGCCTGCAAGCCCCGCCCCTGCAGCACGCGGTGCTCCTGCCAGTGGGCGGGCGCTGGGAGCTGCCCCAGGAAGCGGATCGGACGGTCCCCGATATCAGGACAAAGGGCGTCCCGACCAATGTAAAGTCGGGACGCGGGACAAGTCCCCTAAAATCGGGACTGTCCCGATAATATCAGGACGTCTGGTCATCCTACTCTTTGTAGAGATGCAGGGTTACCTTACAAATCTGTCCACTGGATACTGGTCTGAGTGGCTCCTAATAAGTTTGTGTTTGTTACAAGCGAATCTACCTAGTTGTTTTATTACAACTGCTAATAGCTTTTAAAATAATTTTTAACTAGATCGCTCCATATAGGGCATTTTTCTGCGATTTTTGCATTTTGGGAGTGACTCAAATGAATTAAGCTTTTGGTCATGTGCATTAATTACTGTGTACACAAAGCAAGCAATACTGGCCCCCAAAAGTATTGCCTGTCTTCTGATTGCTTAAATTCATCTAAGGTTTGGGATTACTTAACATTTGTTATAATTTATTATTTAATTTTAAGGAAAGAATAAAACCATATTTTACCAGTGATGGTAATCAGCCATTAAACTGTAACAATTGTATGTTAAAACAATCAAGAAAATGTCGCTCTGTATTGAGTCAGTCAACAAAAAAGTGAAAGTAGGTGCCAACATCATCATTTTCCTTTTAGCCCACATATATTGCTTTGTCATATTTCTACAGAGAATTGAGTGGGATTTCCTTTAACATTACTTTGAGAGTTTTTACATTTTATTTCCCTTTTGGTACCCTATATAGTCCACTGTCTTGTATTATTAAGCTCTCTAAAGCATTCAGAAGTATAGTTTGGATGGGATGCTGATCAAAATAGATCTGTGCCTCACAGTTCTGTGTTGTTTTTTTAAATATCAATCTAGGATTCAGCTGGAGGACTTTCCATGTTTACAGGAGAGGAGGAAATCTTTGCATTTCAACGAACTATCTCACGACTTACAGAAATGCAGACTGAACAGTATTGGAAAGATGGGGACAGAAGCAAGAAATAGTCATTTGTTCAAAGATGAACAAAACCTCTCAGGACACAAAAATAGTATATAAAGAAAAAAGATTCTAATAGAATTGGAAGCATTTCTAATATAAATGAATTGATTATTATTGCACTTATCCTCTGGACCATAACTTTTCATCTGCAATGTTTACGTTTAAAATTTAAGAGCTTAGTAAGTTGTGGTTTTTGTTTTGGTTTAGGTTTCTTTGACACTCCCAGCTTGTGGATCTGTTATTATGCCTTTTATATTTCAGTTTTTTTCTCCAGTACAGCATGACTTCAGTATTCAACATGGTTAACTGGGTCAAGATCCCTCTTAGGCTGCAGCACAAGTCAACCATATAGGCAGGGGTCACAGTAAAATGGGGATGCACACCTTAGTTGTTTATGCAGTATTTTTGTCATATTTATGATAGCTTGCACAAAAGAAAGATCAAAGCCACACAAATCAAATTTACTTGTATTTTATACTCTGCTCCCTCTAGAGTCAGTCTGTAAGATTCTAGAACTCCTGTGTCCTATCTTTTTATTTTCCTAACTCTTACTTGTAGCCATCTGCTGAACTTCAAATTTCCTCTCTTCTACTGAAAGGCTACGCATCACTCTCTGATAGTTTCCTGAGGGTACATATTGTCTGCTGTCATTCTAATGAGGCTGCTGCTCTATCTTACAGCCTGAAAGCCAACGGCCTGATCCTGGGGACAGGATGAGCCTTAGCAGGAGGTGAGGGTGCTTGTCACCTTAGAGGGGCGAGGTCCACGTAAAGAAGGGTGATTAAAAAAAAAAGAAACTATGCAAGGGAGAGAGTAAAATGTAATAGAAAAGTGGAAACTACTACTTTTTGAAGACTTTCCATCAAAGCACAAGAAAGAAGAGTCCATCTCTACTGCCAGCTGGGTGTTCCTGCCAGAAGGGGGTGGGGGAGATGGGACTTCATGGACCTTTGGTACTTTCCAGCCTAAAAGTTCTAAGGCCTAGGCCACACTACACTTTCTCCTCTGTTTCTATTAACACCTGTGTACTGGCCAGTGTCGACTTGGGCATGACTTGATCACACTCTATAATACAATTGAGTCAAGAGACAAGATTACTAGAGCCCTGCAAATCTGTGGGTATCCACTTTATATCCGTGGACCATTTCTGCAGATAGCAGTGCAGATGCGGATACAAATTTTGTATCCACGCAGGGCTCTGACGGTAAGAGCCAGGTGGGCAGCTGTGAGGAGCCGCAGCACAGATCCTCCACCTGCCCTGGGCGGGGAGCCTGGGGGGCAGGGACACTGGGCAGGGAGCTTCTCAGGCCCCCCGCCCAGGGCAGGTTGAGGGTCTGCCGCAGCTCCCCACAGCTGCCCGCGCAGCTCTCCCCAACCCAGCTCCGGCTGGGGAGGGGAGCAGCTCGGAGCCGAAGCCCGGCCATGATAAGCGCAGGGCGGAGGCAGCGGTGGCGGACCCTATACCTGCCCTGGGCGAGGGGCCCAAGCAGCTCCCGGGCAGCTCCACAGGTCTCCCCTTTCCCCCCGGCCAGGCCAGTGTGGAGCCCAGCCGGGGAGCCACAGTGGACCCTCCATCTGCCCACAGTGCGGAGCAGGGGCTGAAAGCAGCCCCTAGCCGTGGCCCTGCCCGCCAAGCTCCCTGCCTGGCCAAGGGCAGATGGGGAAGGGTCTGCGACTTTGTGCGGGCTCCCTACGGCTGCCCGCGGCTCTCCCCGACTGGGCTCCGGTGGGTGGGATGCCTCGGAGCCTCAGCCCGGCCCCCAGTGTAGAGCCCTGCAAATCCGCAGATAATTTTTGCAGATAGCAGATCGGATGCAGATACACATTTGTGTATCTGCGCAGGGCTGTAATTACAACATGGTTACATTTTACAGTGGAGATGAAACCTTAACTGTGGTGTGTAACCATGTCCCCTCTAGTTGTAGCATGAACTTGCCTTTCGTTAAAATTGCCTTGGATATTTTTTAAGCCTAGATTTAATAAAGCTATGTACTGTCCTTTCTGACGAGTACATTATTTCTATTAGAAACCATCTTTAAAAGCATGTTTCAAAACAGTTTCCTTGGATAGGGAAAAAGGTTGCAGACAGGGCATAAAAGGATCATCCTCAAATCTGCACATTTTGTTTCAATTTTCATCTCACCGTTGGTTCTTCTGAGAAGAATCCATGTACCTCGTATGTCTCAGTATTATTGTTTTTCTCTCTCCATCGATTAGCAACCTGATCAAACTGCTGCTATAACAGCCACTACCATGACACTGTCTAAAGTGAACTAGTCCTTTTGGCTTCATGGCCTTATACTTTTTTAGGTGGTGGAGCCATATACTTGATGTATTACTCCATCATGACCTGGTTTTCTTTGGAGCCATATGCTGGGCAGGGCCAGTGCAACCCATTAGGCGACCTAGGCGGTTGCCTAGGGCACTAGCATTTGGGGGGGCGGCATTTCGGGTCCTTCGGCGGCGACCGTGGCGGCTGGATCTTGGGCCGTCCCGGGCGGCAGCAGCATTTAGGCGGAGGGAGCTGGGGCAGGGGGGCACGGGGAGAGCCGCCTGCAGCAAGTGGGGTGGGGGGGCGGCACTCAGGGGCACTCCCTGCCCCAGCTCACCTCTGCTCCGCCTCCTCCCCTGAGCACGCCGCCCCGCTCTGCTTCTCTCCCTCCCAGGCTTGTGGTGCCAAACAGCTGATTGGCGCCGCAAGCCTAGGAGGCGGGAGAAGTGGAGCGGGGCGGCGTGCTCAGCGGAGGAGGTGGAGCAGAGGTGAGCTGGGGCGGGGAGCTACTGCACGGCTTCCCGGGCTGCCGCAGGGGAGGGGAGGCGCCTCAGGGCGGGGGGGGGAGCTGCTGCAGGGGGGGTGCCTCAGGGCAGAGGGGGGGCGAGCTGCTGTGGGGAGGGCGCCTTAGGGCGGAGGGGGGGACGGAGAGCTGCCACAGGGCTCGGGGAGGGCGGGGGGGCACAAGGCGGAAGTTTTGCCTAGGGCACAAAACATCCTTGCACCCGCCCTGATGCTGGGTGTATTAATCCTACAAGGTTAGCCACTCTAATCATCTCTGTGCACTGGAAGGCACCCATGTTTGCTACACCTGTACTTCAAATAACTTTCAAAGTCTATACAGATATACTTTTATAAATACAAGATTTTTCATTCATCCAAAGGAGTGATAAGAGAGAATTGTAAAGTATTTATGAAAAAAACCGTTCATAGTAAATGAGATGTTTGAATTCGAATGGGAACTCCCAAAGAAAAGCAGTAGTATGATCTGAATAACAGTAGAGATGCTTTAAACAGGACTGCAAAAGCATTTTTCATTTCATGTCGTTTTTCAGATGCATTTTTGCACTTGGGTGATGCATCTGCGTTATTGTTAAGCCTTGTTATAGATGCAGCCCCTGTGCTCTCTCACTTTGTGTGGCGGGGAGCAGAAGGGCCAAAATCTTAGAGACAAGGGTTGGGGGACTCCCATGGAGAGAGAATGCTGCTCTGCTGGTTTCTCCTGCTACTAAATAGCTTGTATCGGAGCTAAAAAATGGAACTGTGTCTCAGTGAGCTGGTGTGATTGGAGACCGAACTGGTTTAATCACACTCAGTTCAGTTTGCCCCCAGAGCCATTTTTATTCATGTTAGCTGCCACAGTTTTGCTCTGCACCTCACTAGTGCAGTTCTACACTTTCCCCCAATGCATTGCATTCTGGGTACCTATCCCAAAATCCCTGGCATTGCCCCTAGAAGAAGTTGGCTCTGGGAAATTTTGAAAAGGCTTCTGGGATATGTTGGTGAGCCCTGGAGAATTATGGGAGAAGAGATCTAATTCCCATAAATCCTCTGGAGCCAGTGTCACTTCCAAGACATTTTCACAAAATAGTGGTCAGGATCAGTGTTCAGCTTGCATTCCATGCTCAGCAAGAAAATGTTCTGTTGGAGCTTTTGGAAGGCATCTGCAGTTGTCATGGAAAAGCAGTGGAGGGCGTTCCAGAAGTACTTAGAGTCATAGTAGTGTCTAAGGCCAGATGGGACTGCCAGGTCATCTAGTCTGACCTCCTGTATATCATAAGCCACCAACACCATCCAGCACCCACACACTAAACCCAACAACCAAAATTAGACCAATGTATTATAGCCCACAAGAAATTATTATGTGCCACTGGCACAGAACAGGAGGGATGGAGGTGCACCATAGCTTGGGGGGAGGGATAGCTAAGTGGTTTGAGCATTGGCCTGCTAAACCCAGGGTTGTGAGTTCAATTCTTGAGGGGGCCATTTAGGGATCTGTGGCAAAAATCTGTCTGGGGATTGGTCCTGCTTTGAGCAGGGGGTTGAACTAGATGACCTCCTGAGGTACCTTTGATATTCTATGAGGCCACACAACAGCAGGGAATTGATTAAGAGAAATATACCCAGATAATCCCAGCAAGAAACCCACACCCATGCTCTGCAGCAACAGGCAAACCACAAAAAAACCAACCCATCAGTGTCACTTGTGGAGACCCTGAGACAAAGAGGAGCAGCTCACAGCTTTGTGTTGTACTTGTGGACAAATAACACATGGTGGACTGCCACTTCTGGATCTGGACAACAGCCACAGACTGTGGGATGCCTGGCAGTGGTAACTGCAGTGATTACACACACAAATTATCTGATTTCTTTAAAACTGAGGCCCAACACATTTATTTACAATACTCCTCTTCCCCTCAAAGGGTTCACACTGCACTAACCTTCCGTCCTTCCAGCTGAGGGCTGCCTGGGGTGTCTCTAAAGCCAAAGAGTTACTTTCTAACACTGGCACTGGCCAGAGAGCGTTACTTGAGAATGATTAAATTATTCCACGTGTCCCCCACCCTCCAATAACAGAACATATTATCTCCACAGTGCATCCAGCCTATGACATTCCTAAGGCACTTGAACTCCAGTCCCTGTGGTGCACTGCGACTAGATTACAGGTCCAGCCAATCAATGCTGATTTCCTTTTTTTATTTCTACATTTAAATATTTTACTTGCAAAAGATAGGAAAATGCCAGCCATGTAATGACAAGCAGCAAAATACCTGTAGTTAAATTGTGCACACTCTTCCGTGGCCTTAAAACTGCGTGCATATACTGTATATTTCTCAGGTCACTAAATGAAATACAAATGGTGTTTTTTTCCATGCAGTCCAGACATGAGATAGATGTGCACATTAAGCAAACATTGACTAGTAAGTAAAAACATTGCTATGAAGTTATTTTAAGATGTCTTCTAGGAATAATCTGATAGCTCTTGTGTTTTTGTTAACATAATAGGCTTAAGTAAAATCTTTACAATGGAGATTGATATGTACAGTTTTTTCCTATATTCCATTATAAATCTATAATAATCCTAGTGAAATAGCTGTCAGATAATTTGTTTCAAGCACTTAATTGAAATGAGTATTTCTAATGCCCCAAACATTAACGTAGAACTTTCTTCAATTAGGTTCCAAATACGCATAGAAACTTTAGTTATAAATGTGTAATCACTTCATTTAGGTCCATTAATGACTACGTAGATCCATCAGTGGCTATTAGCCAAGATGAGCAGGGATGGTGTCCCTCGCCTCTGTTTGCCAGAAGTTGGGAATAGACGACAGGGGATGGATTACTTGATGATACCTGTTCTGTTCATTCCCTCTGGGGCACCTGGCATTGGCCATTGTTAGAAGAAAGGATACTGGGCTAGATGGACCTTTGGTCTGACCCAGTATAGCCGTTCTTATGTTCTTATCCTTTATGTACACCAGAACTTTTAAGCCTTTTTTTCCTCTTTCTGTACAAATAGTAGTTTTCATTTCTAGTTTCATACAAATAAAGGGATCAGTTAGGTATTTTTGGTATAATGAGATGGGCTTCTAAAGCTCTGTGCAGAGAATGAAGGCGGC